AGAAACATACACAACAAATTGTTGGAAGCTTTTTAATTGGTTTAAATGCACCAAAACACGGTAAAGTACAGTTTTCTTTTACTGTATTCGATGAAAAACACACTCCAGTTATTAATTTACCAACTGTTTCCATGTTACATAACTTTTTCCAGAGATCTTGTTGAAAACTTTCCAATATGTCGAGTGAAAGCCTAACCAATACTTATTGTCTCATAAAAAATTCAATGTATGATGACCATGAAAATTTTGAAATTGAAAGTAGATCACTACCGGATATCAACACCCAATTGACAAAACCACTATTTTTAGAAACATTCTTCCGCTTGTAAATCTCTCGTTATCTCACAAAATCTGAAAGAAAATGCAATTTCAGACATCAAATTCCAAATCTAGACCAAAAATTAGTCAATGAAGGACAACAGGAAGTCTAAACATAGCAAGGTCTACATTCGTAGCATATAAGAATTACTGGAGTCGGTCCTATATGACTTGAGGTTCTTTTAGCTATGGAACTTGATTAATTGGGTTATTGACCTATACTCGCCAAGACTTTAACAACCCTCCTCGCTAAAAAGAGACCACATAAGGACCTTTCATTTAGTAAATGTAAATTTAAAATAGACGTGCTACACCTGAACAGAATTTTTTTTTAAAAAGACCCGAAGGAATTAAAAGGTACTGGATATCTATCTATCACAAATTCAAAAAAGAGATAAGTGCGCAACGCATTTACGAATTTTTGAATTTTAAAAAAATGCTTTCGGTATTGTTTCAAGGTTTGAAAGTAAACTACACAAGCCAAAAAGGTATAATATTAACCTTTCGGTCCGAGACAAATTCATTGCTATTTTGTTAACTACATGTAAAGAAATATCGAATAGAAAAATTGCAAATACGTTTATGAAATTATCTTTAAAATACAGACAATTTACGACGACATATTTCACTTTTTATTTTGAAATAAAAACTTTCGTTTTCACCTATATAAGACTTCCACCCAGGTGATAATTCAACGAATATTTAATTTAAGAAATTTTAAGTCCATATGACCAGCCTCCATCTTGTAAAGAATGGCGTTAAAAAGATATTAATTCAATTTTCTGGAATATCACCTTGGTGAAAAATAAAGTTTTTAATTAGAAATAAGAAGTAAAATATGTCGTATGTGAGCCACCATAATTGAATACAAGGTTGTATAATTAATACTGTACATTGTATTTCAATTTATTATGCAGGACGGTATATTATACTGAAAAAAAATGTTGTATTGGTTGGACGGGTACAAGTTGTAACAAAGGTAACAATACCTTAATGATTTGTAATGGTCGTTTGTGTTACAAACGATTAAGAGGTTTAATTAATGTTACAAGCATTGTTTCGCGTGATTTGAAATGAGAAAATGGGTTAAAATTATTAAAAAAATATCCGAACCTATCAAAAAATGACTTAAAATGTCCTGATGAACAATTCAAATTTTTCTCTTCCGTCGAATAAAATTGTGTCATTCATTTTGTTCTGACGACAGAATACAATGAATTTCCAGCGTCCTGTCAATTAAAAATAAAAATAAAATGCCAATGCCATTCAAGAATTGACATGATTACTGTTTATTATTGTCTTCATTTCAGCAATTTGTAGAGGAAGGTCTGATTCAAGAGCCTGCAATGAAAATTTTCCCAACTCCCACATTGTTTTGCCTGATAAAACCACAGTTAAGAATAGTGTGGGAAAATGTATTCGACCTAATGTATGTGAATGTAAACAGGAAGGGTTTTATTCAGCTGGTTCATTTTGTAATAGTAAGTAATAATTATTTGTTCTATATCTGTTTAATGAATCCGAAATTCTTAAAACGCAAGTTAAAATCTACAAAAGTATAATAAACATTCAACCATAAATGTGATGAGTATTGCCCTTGAATGGATTTGAAAAACATAAGAAGTAACGATCTGAAACGCAAAATGAAACCCAAAATAAGAATTGTCAATACACTGTTAGCAGTTACACGGCGTTTCGTTATAAAATGTAATTAATGAAGATTACAAAACTTCGCTTAACGAAAAGTAGTTTCGTATAAGATTGCTCCCTTCTTAACTTCCTGGTCGCCTGACAAAATATTAAAAGTCTATCTAAAGCTGCAAATAGACGAGATACGGAATTCGATGCGGGATACAATTAATACAAAGATAACAAGGTCATGCCGTGGAACATTGTACAATTATAACTGCTATTTTATTTCAGTCTGTTCTGCTGTTAATAACTGTGATCTAGAATATTGTACAACTAAAACTAATGATATATTTCAGTCTGTTCACCTATCAATAACTGTGATCTGGAATATTGTACAACTAAAACTAATGATATATTTCAGTCTGTTCACCTATCAATAACTGTGATCTGGAATATTGTACAACTAAAACTAATGATATATTTCAGTCTGTTCACCTATCAATAACTGTGATCTGGAATATTGTACAACTAAAACTAACCAGAGATGTCGGAGATGTGAAGGATTGGTAGCAGATAAATCGTGGTATCGAGCTTATATTATATCGACGGATAAAAGATTGTGTATAAGTAAGTTGTCCGGTATTAAAAGAACGTGTAATAGTGAGTAATTTGTTTGTTTTCATAGCGCTGCAAAAATGACATCGAATAATTTGTAGTATGTTTTCACCATTGTAGTGATACCAAGCAAGCAAGTAATTCTTACAATCTAGAATTGACCATTTAACCTATTTGAAAACGGCATGTCAAAGTCTCATGT